TGGGTGGACTGGACACCTTCACCCCATCCTGGCAGCCATGAGCACAGAAGATCTTGCCACCTACGTGTGTCGTCTTCATTGACTTCACAGTGTTGGGCAGTTTCCAGGGTGTCCATGGGTCTCCTGGGGATCCCCAATCAGTGCAGGTTCTGACCCACTCGGCTGCTCAGGAATGAATGAAGCCGGACCTCTGTGCTCCTCCATGCCCATAAAGCAACCCGCCAAAGCCTGACAGTTTTCCACATCCAGCCCTCTCTCCCCGAGTCCTCGTGAATGCTACTCCCCAACTCTGCCATAGGCCGCCCACAGGGAGATACTCCTCACTTTGCCTTCCCTCTGGGGTCTCACTTTCTCCCCAGATGAAAGCACAGAGGGTGCTGCACCACTGGATCCTGCTGGACCAGGTTCATCCCCTCCCCCAAATCCCTGCCCACACGCCCAGGGTTGGGACTCCTCTCCAATTCTTGGGGGGCTCCTAACGGGAGGATGGACTCACTCATGGTGCACCCACCCGACAGTCCCGCTGCATCATGGCAGTGTGGAAATTCAAAGTGAAATAGAGGTAAATAGCCTGTGTTTTCTCCAAAGATAGTGACTATCTAATAATTCTAAGATAAGTGGGGAAGAAAGTGTTCTTACAATCTTTGGTGGAAATGTTGGTTATGATACCGATTTTGTGTGGTCTGTGTGCAATTCCATTTCAAAATTGCTCAAATGGGTTGAGCTTTAGATTAACACATTGGTTGTCATCCTTTCTACCTTGAAAGTCACCAATTGTAAAAAACAATAAAGGGCCCTGATGGACATTGCATCAGGTGTCTGCATTGTATTTGTGTTGTTCTTTCATTGACGGATCACATCAGTTCATTTAGAGTGAAATGTTTTCAGCTAAAGACAAAATTCCTTTTTTAAAAAAAAAGCTGTAGACATTGTTATCATTCTCAAGGTTCCTTGAAATGGTTCTGGTTATTCCCAGAGGTTTTTTCATCCTTCCTCATTTCTTAATTTAAGTGTTAGCACCCAAATAAGTTAGCATGCTTCTGATGTTGGATGGTTGGCAAACCTGCCCAGAAGTAAGACCAATGCTGAACTTCCACAAATGTGTAAACATATATTTTTCCGCCACCATCTCTCTTGTTGACTGTGGAATTTCTGCTAACATAATCAGGATTGGAGTTCTAGGATGAGACAGAAAATGAAAGCGTGCTGTCTGGCAAGACACTGAGGATGGATATTGCTGCAGGGGCCTTGATGCCAAAGCCAGATAAGACACTGGCAAGCAGCTAAGATAAAGGGCCCCACACTGTGGTAACGAAGCTAAAGGGCCTCACAGGTGGGGCTGAAGCGAAAGACCCTCACACCTTGAGGCTGAAGATTTAACATCCCTTCGTTTTTTTGTACTTGGTCATAAAAAGAGAAAAATTTCTCAGAATGTACATTAGGCAATAAATTTTATGTATCAGTATACTGCAAGGAATGGCATGGAAAATTATCTGTTTAGAAATTAGTTATTAAACAATTTGGCCCACTTGACAGTGGAAGACAATTTATTGTACATGCCTGACAAGCATTCCACCACAACAATTATAGTAAGTCCTCCTTTTGCTTTTTAGAAGTTTCTTAGGAAAGTTTTTAAGTGAAGTTAATTGTGTTAAGGAGTTTCTAGGTAGAAAAAGTTCTGATAGCTGAGTAGCAGCTGGACTCCGGCTGAAGGCCATGTGAATAGAAGAGTCTTTTGATGCTTAGGCTTTAGCTGATAGGGGTGTACTGGCGGCTGTCAACTGTCTTAGGTAATTGTCTAGCTGAAATAATAAGTTTTAGTGTAAGGTTGGGGTTTTATCTATTAACCTTGAAGGCTACCGTCTAGCTGAGACCCGTAGGAGCCAGTAGTCCATGGGGATAGAATACGCTAATTGCTTCTGCTTTGCACATGATGATGTAATTTCTCTGCTTGCTAAAAATGAATAAATAAAGACCTGCTGAGTCCCTCAGTAGAAGATACTTGCACCTCATCGAGTGTCAGTGTCTCCTCATTACCTCATCCCCTTCCCTTAGCCCTTAAGTTTTCGCCGAAGCCGTCTCATACTTTCAGGAACCCCTGACAAGACATTTTGCTGAGGCTGGTCTGCCACAGGATGTCAACATGGGGTGAGTTGATTTGGAACACAGGAATTTCATTCTATTCTACCCTATTCTTTTTTGTTGTTTGTTTCTTGGTAACTAGGTAGAGGAAGGATCTTTCAGTTATTTCAAATTTTGTTTTATGAAACATCATTGCTCCATTCATCATTTTGCCTTTTTCTTTCCATAGGTATGTACAACTTTCAGAACTCTTGTATATGAAAGCTGGAAGGGTCTGGATTTTGAGTTAGTGTCTTATTTTCACTTTTTTTAATCAAAACAATATAAAGCGTTAAACAGAGTACATTTATAATTAAATTTTTTGAGAAGTCTTTTTTTAAGAGATTTATTTATTTATTTATTTATACAAGCACGGGGTACAGTCAGAAGCGCGGGAGGGTGAGAGAACTCACCAGAGCCAGAGCGGGGAGCAGAACAGGCAGAAGGACCGAAGCACACTGCTGAGGGGAGCAGTGGGTGGCAGAAGAGGTCTGCGCGCCATGTGGGACCCTCCTCTGGTGACCGGGGCAGCCGGGGATCGAATTGGCACTGCAGAGGCTGCGGGCAGCTTCACAACCCAGCATTCAACCGCTGTGCCACCGGGAGATCCCTATAATTAAATTTTTTTAAAGACAAAATATATTTATTTGGATTTGCAAATGAGTAGGAGCCTAAAATCAATGAGGTGTATTTGACATTCACTCCAAATGAAGCTGCTGTGCCCACGCCTGCCTAACTAGAAGGAAGGCCACAATTTCATCCTTAATAGTAGTTTTTCTATGGCCATCAAGGAATTATTAATTTTAAAAATAATTTTAGCAGTTCCTTTTCACCTGCCAAGGATCAGGGATGTGAGTGCAATGATGATGTTTTCATTAGTTTTAGTCAACTGGTTCTGATCATAAGAAAGGGCTGCATGCATTATAGAAAATTTGAACAGTCGAATGAAATAAAATGACCAATGGCCAACTATGATTTTTCATCAAAAGAGAAATATTTTTTTGAGTTAGCTTACTTTCTTCCTTGTGATTTCCAGTATTTTGAATTGTGAACTATAACACCCTTGTATAAGGGCAGGTTGTATAAATGTAGAGTTTAAGAATCACCAAATGAACTCCCATTAACTAGGTGGAGAAACATAAAATCACATATCATCATCATCTTCTCTGAGTTCGCACCAATATGCGACCTTTACAGTAACTATTTCCCTTGCTTTTCATGACAAGTTCTCATATAATTCTGTATTATTAAATGTATAATTAAAACATGATTTTCATTTTGTCTGGTATTTAAAATATAATTAAATTCTATTATGTTTTTTCTATCTAGACTCTTTCATGCAACAATATGGGCAAGATGATCCACAGGTTTGGCTGTAGCTAGAGCCTCATGTTTTCACTGCTATATAGTATTCCACTTAATACCCAGTAATTTTCCCACTCTATTCTACATTCACACTAGATTATTGCATTAATATTTTCTATCCAAACTGGAATAACAATATCTAGAATTTTATATTCCACTTTCTTCATTGAACATTGTAACATTTTATGTATATGTGAGATATATTGGACAGTTTCCTGGGGTTTTCATTTAGATTGTTTCCAATCATTTGTTACTGTAATAAAGTGCCAGGGAACATTTTCTCATGGGGAACATTTTCACAAATAAATATTGTTATTTGTGTTCAAAGTCACTTCCCAAACATGGAATTACTACTTCTACTATTACATATATTCTCTCAGGATTGAGCAAGTGTCCAGGATTCAGCTCTTTAGGAGTCAGCTCTTCCTTGGGCCATTTTGCTCCATCCAGCCATATTCTGCAAGGCTTTGACACACATATATCCCCACCACCACCACCCTAATTCCCATCTGCACTCCATGCTCATTGCCTTTGGCCACCATTGTGTTCTCCTTCTTGCTGGCCCTTGGCTTGGGTTCCCTTCCTTCTCTGTCAGCTTTTGGTGTGTGTGGGGAGGTTAGGGAGAGGGAAGGGTCATGAGCCATGGGGGCTCATTCTTGTTGGCTTTGGCCCCATATCCACTCTGAACCCCCAGGCAAGAGGCAGCATACACAACTCCTCCATCATCTGCTCTGTCCCAGCAGCTTCTTTTTCCTTGGCCCTGATGGTCCCCACACCAACTGGTTCCCGAAAATTTCCAACAGGCGTCTCCCCACATTGCTGTCCCAAAAACACCATGAAAGGCCAAGGGGTATGGCCTGCTGGGAACATCTGTGGGCCAAGGGAAAGGGCCTAGGAAGGAGAAGCTGCTGGACCGAAGGCAGGAGCACAGCACCATTTTGTGGTGATGGTGGTGCCCCTGTAGCCTGAGGAGGAGAATGACAGTGGGGCCAAGGGGAAAGGCTCAGGGGAGGTGAGGGCCAAGCATGGAGCAAAGTCCTACTCTGCTACCCACATTTGCAAAGCACTGGGCAGTTCCTGCTGCCCACTGTGGTCACTGCTTAGAAACCCTGGCTTGGAAACCAGGGTCGCCAGCTCTGGAACCCCGCCTGGACACCACAAGATGGGTCATGTGGACCTCTTAATGGTACAACAGGACAG